AGGATCAGCAGATCTACTCAATAGGTATGACTTTAGTCAAACTACATGAAATGTAGAATGTAGGCTCATGCATGTAAGGGTGGCCAGGGTATAAGCATCGCCATTGCATTTCGAACGGTACAATGAATCTTGGCAAATGATTTCTGCTTCCGAGGGTGGGCATTGTATGTTCAGGTAGATGTGTCGTGTTAAGTAGCACAAGATCATTGACCTTATATACCTAATATCCGCTCTTATCTGATTGTTCTTTTTGCAGATTCCGAGCTTACGCGATTGCGTCTCGAGAAAACCGCACAACAGCTAGCTCTTAGAAAATGGCGAAAGACCCGTCGAGACATGCGTGGAGTTGTTTGACGCATACTCTGCAAGAGGAATACTTTTTGAATGACGTAGCGTAATTACGCAGTACATCCTCCAGGACCCATCTCACGCTTTCTGGCTGACCGTCCATTTTAGGATATGCCGCTGTTGACATGTACAGTTTGGACCCTTCAAATTAAAGCACGCCAGAATCTCGATGTGAAACAGGTGTCATCGTCAGACGCAATCTGAGCAGGAAGGCCATGCAGACGTATTACAATACTGAAGATACCTTATCTTTTTTCTTGGCAGATATCTTATCTGAGACAGACGCAAGACGAACCACCTTGCTGAGTCGGTCAACTAACACAAGGATGCCGCTGCGTACATGTGTCTCATGCGGAAATTGGAATATGAAGTCCACCGGACAGACTCCCAATTAACAGCTGGCACTGCCAACGACCGAAGTTGGCCTGAGTGGAAGCCGATAGTTTCACTCTCTGGCAAATCTTGTAAGTCCTTATTTATTTGCGCACCACTTATAAATGTGTAACCCATAGTAATTTCGGAGAAGACTAAAAAAATATTTCTCACTTCCAAGATGGTCATTCAAAGGGCTGTCATGGTACTCATATAAGAGACGATGACGTAATTCTTCGTCATTAAGAACAACAATTCTTGATGTATCTTCGTGTTCAAATTGCATAGAACAACAATCCATTGTGTATTTCAAAACGATGAACGCGCGAGTTCGTGCGAAACGAAAGGCTATACAGCCTTGCAGTATTTTGTCGGACGGGTCCTTGAAGAACCGTAACAAGTGTTGACATATCGCATCAGAGTGTATCGTTTGACAATTTATTTGAGCACTGTGGTCGCTGTTTGCACACTGATTCTTCGCATCGTCGACATGACTCATGCGTGTTTTTGCTCTTGGACTTTAGATCATGTCTTGACAATTTATCGACTGTGACGTTCGTCGTGCTGGCTTGTGGTGTATAACAAAATTGTACTTCGCAAAGTAACAAAACCATCGATTGATTCTCTGTAATGAATGAAAGGTCTTTACTGCTGTACGCAGCAAGGTATGATCTGTATAGATTGCAAAGCACTCCTCTCTAAGCAAGTACACACGAAATTTGACCACAATATACTTCATTGCATGAAACACTTTGTCACGAACTAGATAGCTCCGTTTAGCTCCATTTAGCGGACCGGAGATGTCGCGAATAATACTTGACCCTCATCAACGTGTTGCATCAACGAACAACCGATGGCACTATCACTTGCATCGGAGACCACATGGAAAGGCTTGTCATGGTTTGCAATCGCGCGGACAGGAGCTTCTGTCAGGCTCCTCTTCACTTCGGCAAATACCGCCTGGTGATCAAGTGATTATTCCCAGTCAACGTTCTTCTTTTGGAAGAGTCGTTGAAGGCTGCACTAACACCGCAAAGTTGAGCGTGTATTTGTGCAAATAGTTGACCAAGCCCAACCATAGGCTCAGCTGTTTCACATTGTATGACACAGGCCAATCACATAACTTTAAGGCCTTGACCAAGATAATCAAGTTGAACTACGACATCAAATTAAGTTTCCTGTTTCTTACTATAAACGAATATATCACCACATAAACTCGGGGGTTTGCATCCTCTTAATGGACAGAGTTGTTTTGAGACCATTCTGTTGAAAGTCGCTGGAGCGTTCATCAAACCTTGTAGCATCACTAACCACTTCCACAGCATACCAGTGGGGGGAATGACTGCGGTAAGTGGTGTATCAACTTTGCGTATTCGTATCTGATAGAAACCAACTTTCAGATCGATCGTATTAAAACTATACTGCCAACCATTCCATCAAGGAGCTCGTCCTTGCGCGGAACCGCAGTCTAGGCAGGTATGATCACATCGCTTAATTTATTGAAAGCTTGAACATTGCGTCAACCACTTGTGAATTTTTTCCCCAGAAGGTTGGACTACAATGCGGGGACTTGATCTCTCGCACATATTAAGCCTCTGGCGCTGCGCAAAGGAGTCGACTGCAATGACTCAGTTTTTGGTAACGGCCACTGCCGTGTGATACGATACTTCGTTTTATGAATTATGTAAATCTCATGACGGATGTCTCTGTTAAATAATAATTCGTCCGGCATCTTGTCTGGGAAAATACCAGCATATTTCTTGACAAGTCCACACACACGCGGGTTTGCTTTAGAGCGTCCACAGACTGCTCATCAAACCTTTCCTATCGTTTCTTATCATCAAATACCTCCGCATTATTGATGCCATCGTGAATAGCTACTTTGACGATCGCAATATTGCGCGAAGGCGGGATCTTGCTTTCCGCCAGTTTACGCTTCCGCGTTTCCGTTCTCATCAACGGCAAAAGAAACTATTTTTTGACTGAACTTGGAAGATTTTTTAGTTTTTTAATATGAAGAATAACACCGGTGTCACCTTCAACGTTGTAGACCACACCAATCACAAACTTGCTCAGTGTGTCTTGTTCTTGAGCACATTTTCAATAAGTTTGATTTGTACTTTGATCAGGGGCACGCAAGATACTTGGCAGAAAACTCTTCTTGGTGGCTTCGTTTTTACTCTAGGAATGGGTCTTTGCCTTTAATCGAACTATACTGAATACTACCATCGACCAGAATTTATATGTCGATGGCAAAGGAACCAGTCTCTTCGTGGCGTCTGACAGCTCCACCCCAGTTAAATTTGCCCTGTGAACATGAAGGGTTATCACACACCTCAATATCACTTGGTACTTGTGTGACGTTTTCAAGAGATGCGTCCGCCCAAGACATTTCGTTTGTCTTCATGCACCTCGATTTGGCGCAGCACGACTTGTTGACGACGATCTTTATCTTGACTCAGTCAATGCTAAGCTGATAACGCTTCAACTATGGAATACCTAGGATGATATCAAACTTATCATCGAGGTCGAGAAGGCTAGCCCCATCTTTAATCCGGAAATCCTCACATTTCATTACCAAGGGAACGTCTTCAATCCATTCGCTAAACAAATCGCCATTTCATTTTTTCACATTAGAAACGCTATCGCCATGTCCAGTCATAACTTGCGCTCGAGCAAAGTTGTTGACGCACCAATGGCAATCAGTGGTCGTGGTGGCTTCTCAAGACTATCTACAAAGACTTTTTGAACAAAAATGGCGCACTTTGTCTTATTATCCTCATTGGGAAAGCTGTTGTGCATCTTGCACGTTAGCCCTTGGAAAGCTCTGTGTACTTACAGTATCAATAGTACTCCTCTCGGGCTTAGTAAAGAGCCTACCTCTGCCGGTTTTTCCCAATTTTTGTTCTTGGGGGCGTTCAAATGGACGACCTTTATAGCGCCCGCGGTTATCCAAGCGTCTGTTGCTGTCTCATCAAGACAATCTCCAGATCCAAGCAATATTACCCAGATTAGGAATCACTTTTTATCGTCGCGAGGACTCACATATCCAGGCATATACGAGATGTCCGTTAGACTAGACCATCACTTGTACCAGACTACTGTTGCGCATGTCTTGGGACGAAGCCATTGAATTTGGAGTGCTTAGTGCTGAGCTCTTTTTAAATCCAGCGGTTAATGATATCGTTTAGCGTCTTGCGAATCTTGCGGAACAATTGATTCCGGATTAGCCCATCGCTCAAACCCGCCATGAGCATTACAACTTGCTTTGAAAGTCAATTGAATCGTCGACAATGCTCGATAACAAGCTGCGAACACGCTGTGCGTACGTTTGTAGGTTGAAACGATCTTAACGAAGCTTTAAGAACTCAACACTAGCACGGAGCCCACTTTGTGGTCGAACACCATCGTTAGCTCGACTTGAAGCGTTCGAAACTGAAAAATCAATCTAGACGGCCAACGCTTACCATACGACCAACGCCTTGCACGACCCGCAAGGCTGGACATTGCGAACAATGCTTGCTGCGAGGGGACTCGCAGTTGTCTTGCAGCGATTACTGCATCCAACTCGACAAACAATCTTGAGAGACTCATTCTCTCCACCGCGATACAGAGACACGTTCAGCGTCAGAGCCATCGTTCTGTAAAATGAAACATTTGTTGTGACCTTCTCCCGAGATTTCACAATCTCGTGATACATGCAACTGACGGCTGCGTTCTTCTGATCATCCGGAGAAGACAACCGCAGTAAATTGACTACGGCAGCTTTCTTCGATGACTTCTCGCATCCGCTCGAGTGCCACCCACTCATGTGAAGACAAATGAGGAACATCTCATTCGTCTATACCTAATTTTGCGGTACTGACGGACCGAGTGGTACCTCTACTTCCTCCGTGTTGCTCAGACAAGGACAAGAGTATGGCTTGGACTGGAATGCGCGACGTGCTTCTCCGCTGCGTTGTCAAACAAAATCGAATGTCGTCGAGAATACCACTCGGCATGCTACCAGGTATAGGAATGCACTGTTTACTCTGAAAGGAATTTTGCAACTGCATTGAAACGAATAATGGCTCCTAGCCACGTGCAAAACACCCCAAAGGCTATGAGAGGTTTGACTAATAAAACCTGAGGTGATAGCTGCGACCAAGATTTTTGAGTTCCCGTCAGGGAGAAGAAATTAAGCAGACTTAGACCGATTTTTAAGAGCCTTTATAGTCATGATGGCGGCAGACACTCTCCCAATGGTGGTCTTAGGCACTATCATCACGGGGAGTTTTGGGTTAGATGCCGCTTGCACCAAGAACTTTACTACATAATGTATCTACTGGCAAAGTCTCAAGGATGTGAACAACAACAAAAAGTGCTAGCAGCACAAATATAGCAATGGGTCTCAACACATCGTCTAAATGCTCAAATTAAATCCGCAGACTTCACCAACATCAAATTCATGCTAAAATTATCTCATATAAAATTATTCTTATATTTCGACTTGTGGAAGAATCTGGAAATCCTTCCCAGTGGTTTTCCGTTCGTGCGAGTAGCTCAATTCTCTTTAGACGAGTAATAGTCTCCGGGATGAGCATAGTGATGCATTTGTTCTCTCAGTTGACAGGGCGAATTAGGCTATCAGCGATTACGCACAGTGCAACAGGGTAGTTGCCTTTGAGCGAAGGGTATCGACCTCAGACTTCGTAAAAATTTGCTTACGCTTAAATGTTTCGTATTCTGATTGTGAAACGAGGTATCAGCTTATAGATATGCTAACGAAAGCACTCGGAACTAAGATGCTGCAGTATTTGCGGGAAGCTTCTGGAATCAAGACCAAGTCAGCACCCATAAACAACATTAGCGGTGAGTGGGATGTTGAGATTGCACCGCTGAATGGCCCGACACGGCGGTTATGCGACCGCGCTTTCATACGACGGTTCATGCACGTCGGTTACGACTATTGATTACGGACGTAATTACGGAGATTATAACAGTCCTTCACTGGGTTAGATAGCTAAAATTGCTTGTAGAAGCTTCTAGAAGGATCTAGAACGATAGGCTTAGAGCTAGCAGAAATTAGCAAACTGAGGACCCAAATATATTCACTTTGGTTTTTACCTTCTACGGCAGCCTAGAATCTGAGTAATCTGGGACTAGTTGTTCAGATGACGCCGCTCGATACTGTAAAGGAAAGATGTTGCGAATTTATGTCTGTTTTACTCGCATCAGCATAACATATGTTCGGACAAGAACAAACTCATATTAGAAGGTCTAATGGCTTCAATTTCACGATTAAAAATTTGAATTTCCTACAGTTCAAAGTTTTATTACACGGTTCTTAGGGGTCACCTACTGTGTCGGTCTTACAGCTTACAGAAAGCATTTACTTAAATCCGAAAACTTTGTGTTTGTTGTAAAAATGTGGATTGACCAATCCGGAAACTTTCATCAAGATTGTGTAAGTCCAAAATTATCAAAAGTCACTTGTCGACTTTAGCGATTCTATATGTAAAATTATCAAAACTGCTTGCTGGATGATTTCCTTAGCCAATAGTATTTTATCGATCATACCATCAATCTTGCTTTGAACAATATTCGTGATTCTGTTTGATTACAAATTCTTGAATTGAAGTCAACAATTTGCAAGAGAATGTCATGGATTATAAATTTAAAAGCTCTTTGGCAATATCGACTAAGTACTTCATCGTTTCCTGACTCGATTTCATCTTTCTCGCTCTCAAATTGATCTATCGCTTCTTGATACACTTCAAAGTTAGGTCTATATAGAACCAAAACTCACGATGCTGTTCTGAGAGATAAAATTTCGAGTCGAGTTATTGACGTGAAATGATGCAGTTTCCATCACCACGACCAAATCATTTAAAATGCTGTTCTTACTTCCCCCTTCATCGATTGTCCGTCCCTTTGTACGAGGTTTAGGAATTACATTTGCTTTTGCAAAGCCGTCCTTCAATGTCTCCGCCGGGATCGCGCTCAATGCCTTGACAAAAATAACTAGCCGCGTTCAGCAGATGGGATGGTATTTCAAATTTCACTTTCATTGCGCCTTGGCTGCATCTGCCTCTGACAGGATTTTAAGACCATCGGTATAATCATGATAAAAAAGAATGCCTTTCCTCAGTATAAACTCGTAGCGCTTCCTTAGTGCACCGACACCCATGTCTGTTGGCTATTATCTTGATGTAACGTTTGAACAAAAATAATCTTATTCCCTTTTTTCAATAGGTTGAGAATATCCAGTTGTATTATCAAAAATAAACGACCTATCGGCCCGTTTGGCGAAAAAAAAAATGGTCGGAAAATTTCATCAAACCGTTAGTTAAACCCAGCAGCGTTAACCAATAAATTTTTGATTAGAATATGGGAATGATAAATGCCTTCCATATATGCGAGCTCGCGCGCTGTCTTTCCCGATCATTGTTACCGAATTGTTTCAGTCGCAAGTCGCGTTGCAACAGGAAAGGAACGTAACCTTTTCTTTGGACTTCCTCTAGCATCGGGCAGTAGTCAGATTTTCTGAGGGCAACAAAACAATATAGCGAGGAAGCAAGCAAAAAAATTAACCTGTTATATCCATACTATACATGCAGCTTGGGGCATACTCTTTGAAAGTCTCCTCAAGTTTCTTCAATTCCTTGTTGGGTCTGAAAGTTATTCTCACCGCATTTGACAAAAAGACAAACGAAATGCAGGCCTCTTCTTGCACGATAATTTCGCCAACAGCCCCAACTCGCTAGATATTTTTCGCCATTAGCCATTATTTCGCAAATCGTTTTGCTTGAATTATAACAATTGAGGGCGGCACCTAAATCAAGAGCCTACGATAAACTTTTATGAGCTCATAAAAACTTGTCTTATTATGCTGGGATCCCAAAAATCTTCTTTTCCTTGTGGCTCCCATGTTAGTTTCACGAGATTGATTTTCTTTAGCTACAGCCAAAGACATTAAGAATTGTTTTGTCCAAACACCATACTATCTCGCTAGGCCCCGCATGGAAGGCCTTTTACCAGCTGACCAATCTATCTTCTCGATGATTTCGAGGATTCGGTCCTCGCATAGCTGCTGTCCTGCCCCTCTTCTCTTCTTCTGAGCGGCGCGACAAATCACAGACATGTCGGAAAACTACAAAATCAATTCGAAAATACGATTAATGCAATAGGCTACGTCAGCAACCTTCGGATGAGTCCACACTTGGCGGCAAAGATCAAGGTGCAGACTAACAAAACGATGACTGTACTGACCAGGTCGTATATTACTACGACTGAGTACTTTTGCAAAGATATGAATATTTCAAAGACACAGTAGCATTGGAAGCATTTTGTTTTGGGATTTACCATCAAGTAAGCAGGTTCACGGCCACATCAAGCCTTTCTTCACTACAACGTCCGTACCCACGATGAGCGGCGACGACTTCCTGTAACAGGGTTACGCGTACCCTGGTTACGAGGGTGTGTGTCACACGAGATAGGCATGGTGTGACTGCACCCAAATAAGAATACGGTATGTGGCTGGGTAGCCGTTGTAGTCATGTATGTATTTAGATTTTACTATATATATTGAGGAAAATCTATACATTTAAAAATTGGCGGCTTTGCCGCAGATAAAAATAAATAAAGTCAGTCTTGGATTTTAAACGGAAGAGCTAATTAGCCTTGGGGTTAAGGCAATAATTACTCTTGCAGTAAGCGGATTGCGATCCGATAAACTCGTACTTGTTCTAAGTATAAAAGGAAAGGTCGGTGACCTAAGTTACGCTTCCTCAAAGCGCAAAGCCACGGCAGCCCCGCTAGACTACCACTGGCACTTTAATGTGAGAAGGACTCTGATGTAGTAGGGTCGTCTGATGCATATCATTTACATCAAGGATGAGAGCGATATCACAGACGTTAAGCTAATGAATGAAGCCAAGGTGTTCATTATTATTGCGCAAGGCGTTGATATGTAACACCAGATCAAAATTAGGCCGACCACAAGTGCTACGAAGACCGTCACGTGATCGTTGCAATTGCTCGACACTGCACAACTTCGTGACGAATCAACGATTCCACCACTTTAATATATAACTAGTGCTCACATGCAGACTCTTTTGACAAAGGGAGAACCAACGCACCGGCAGGTGGTACTTCTCGGCAGTCGGAATATGATCTGATCTCATCAATCAAATACGAAATACATCTCATCTATTTAAGTGAAGGAAAAGCTACGCGAGAGATCAGAGAAGCCACAAAAAAACGCTACGGAGAAAGCGTTCCGCATAAATGAAACTACTGGAAGAACCACAGGTGGACGAGGCAAAATTCGTAAAGGTGACGCTCCACACACAAACGATAGATTTAAATGTACTTATTAAAAATGTGACCAGAATGTCTGTGAAAAGCGGGACCGCCCCGTTGAAAGACGTTTCAGCAATAATGATGTGGTATTTGCAGCGGGCGAAGGACGATAGGTAGGGTGGCTTATTGACAGTGGTGCCACATCCCACATGACTCCGCAAGGTAAGAATTTGTCCAAATGCAAGGACCGTGGGATGTGCAGCGGGGCTGCCGTAATTTTTTCGCTTACATGAAGCTTGGTTAAGGTCGCTGACCTTTGTTCTATACTTAGAGCCAGTACACTAGTACTGGTTCAAGTCTATCGGATCGCAATCCACTTACTCAAAGAGTAATTATAATCTTAACCCAAGGCTAAGTAACTCTTCCGTTTAAAACATAAAATGTATTTCTGGGTTTTATTTGCGGCAAAGCCACCTATATCTAAATCTATAGGTTTTCCTATCTATATAGTAAAATCTAATTAAATGTGTAACTACTGGCTGTTCCAGCCACGTACTGATTTCTTGTTTAGCTGTAGCCACACCACCATGTGGTCACACTATCTCTTGTAACCCACCCCTTTCATACCAGGGACGCGAAACCCGTTACAAGATAAGCATTGGAGTAAAAATTTCATGCACAAGCTACTCGTCAAAGGATACTGCACGGCGAAATTGACCGGTTTGGGTGGAAAAGGGACCCGCATGATCAAAATATATACATCCCAGAACTTGGCAGAAGATTGTTGTCTGTTGGCAAGCTTGCAGAAAGCGGTATGAGTTTGGAGTTCGCGTTCTTTGGGGACTCCGTCGAAGAGAGGCACAAAAAGATGTTCAAACTTTTGTGAAGATTAGTCCCGATTTCCTTGATCAAGAACAACAAAGAAGTATCTACCAAGCTCAAGGTATTCAAGACTCTTTGCGAAAATCAATGGTATGTTTGTCATAAATGCTTGAGATCCGACTACAAAACATAATTCGTGAGCAAAACGATGGCAGACATATGACGTCGGAGCGGCGTTGCCATCAACGTTCCGTTTCAAAATAGACCCCTATGAAAATCGGTGGATGAAGAGGACTATTGTGTATAAGGCCTGCAGTATGCGTTACTACAAAAATGCTTAAATTGAATTATGCGTGGAAGCAGTGAACACAGCAGTTTATTTGATTGATCACTTGACGAAGCTCATTCTGAAATCACGCCCTATGAGTTAGCATTCAAAATAAAGCTCCGATTTGAACACATACGCGTGGTCGGATCC